GGCTCCTATTCCTTTGGATCGGGTTTTGGGGCTCCCCCATCCATGGGGGTCTTTAGGGTGATCCCACCCTGCTGGGGTGGGGCTGGGGGCCTTGGGGAGGGGGGGTCTGTCCGTTTGGGTCGGGTTTTGGGGTTTTCCCCATCCGTGGGGGGCTTTGTGGGGGTCCCATCCCACAGGGTTTGGGGTCTCCTGTGCCTCTGGCGGGGGTCCATCCCCTAATTTTGGGGGGTTCCTGTGCCTCCGGGGGGGGGGTCCACCCCGGTTTTTTTTAGTTTTTGGGGATTTCACCCCCGTTTTTTGGGGTTTCGGGATGTTCCACCCCCATTTTTTTGATATTTCGGAGCGTTCCATCCCCGGTTTTTGGGGGTCCCACCCCCGTGTTTTTTGGGTATTGGGGTGTTCCACCCCGTTTTTTGGGGTTTTTGGGTGTTCCACCCCCATTTTTTTGAGTTCTCGGGTGCTCCATCCCCGTTTTTTGGGGTTTTTGGGGTGTTCCACCCCCGTTTTTTGTGATGTTCCACCCCCATTTTTTTGGGTTTTGGGGGTTCCACCCCCGTTTTTTGGAGTTTTTGGGGTGTTCCACCCCCTTTTTTTTTGGTTTTCGGGGTGTTCCACCCCCATTTTTTTTTTGTTTTTTGGGTGTTCCACCCCCGTTTTTTGGAGTTTTTGGGGGTTCCACCCCCGTTTCTTGGGGGTTCCACCCCCGTTTTCGGGGGGTTTTTGGGATGTTCCACCCCCGTTTTGGGGTTTTTTGGGGTTTTTTGGGTCATTTTGGGGATGCTCCTTCATTGGGGGTTTTTTGGGGTTTTTTTGGGTTTTTTTGGGGGTTTTTTGGGGTCATTTTGGGGATGCTCCTTCCGCCTTCCGGGCCGGGCTGAGCGGGGGTGAAGCCCCCCACCCCGGCTCGGTTCTGGGCGGGGGTCCCTGACCCCTGTGCGCCCCCCCCAGACCCCCCGGGGGGCTCGGCGCCGGCCGCGCGCGAGGAGGAGGAGGAGGAGGAGGAGGAGGAGGAAGAGTACGAATACATGAACCGGCGACCCCCGGGGGTCTCCCCCCAACCCCGCCCGGCCTCCCTGGAAGAACTGGGCTACGAGTACATGGAGGTGACCTCGGACCCCGCGGGACCCCCCACCCAAAACCCCCGGGGGGCCGCCGAGGATGATGAGGATGACGACGAAGATGAAGACTACGAATACATGAACAAACAGCCGCGGCTCAGCCGCTCGCTGCCCCCCGCGACCCCCGCCCGGGGGCGGCGGGAGGAGGAGGAGCAGGGCTACGAGGAGATGGAGGCGGTGCTGCCCCCCGCCCACCCCCAAATCGCCCCCGCGACCCCCATGAAGCCCCTGCGGAGCCTCGAGGCCTCGGACTGCGCCTTCGACAACCCCGACTACTGGCACAGCCGCCTCTTCGCCAAGAGCGACCCCCGCAGGACTTAGGGGACCCCCCGGGACCCCCCACCCACAGCCCGGGACCCCCCCCTCGGGACCCCTCCTCAATTTGGGGGGGCTCGCGCTGAAGATGAAGGATCTGCCCCCCCCGAAAAGGAGGAGCTGCTGTGGATTTTTTTTGGGGTTCCCGGGGGGGTTTTGGGGTCCCTTGAGCTGCCTGGGGGGCAGCAGAAGGGATTTTTGAAGGACCCCAGACTCATTTTCAGGGCTCCCCACTGAGTGAAGGTTTGGGGTGTCCCCCCCCCCCCCCACCCGGGGCCCGTTTTTGGGGGGTTTCTCCCCAGTTTTTGGGGGTTTCTCCCCGTTTTTTTGGGTTTTTTTTCCCGGTTTTTGGGGGTTTCTCCCCATTTTGGGGTTTTTTTCCCGTTTTTTGGGGGGGTTTCTCCCCGGTTTTTGGGGTTTCCCCCCGCCCCACGGGGGGAAGGTTTGGGGGTTCCCCCCCCCCCCCAGCCGGGATCCGTTTTGGGGGGTTTCTCCCGGTTTTGGGGGGTTTCTCCCGGTTTTTGGGGGGTTTCTCCCGGTTTTGGGGGGTTTCTCCCCAGTTTTTGGGGGTTTCTCCCCGGTTTTTTTGGGTTTTTTTTCCCGGTTTTTGGGGGTTTCTCCCCATTTTGGGGTTTTTTTCCCGTTTTTTGGGGGGGTTTCTCCCCGGTTTTTGGGGTGGTTTTTGGCGGGTTTCTCCCCGGTTTTGGGGGTTTCTCCCCGGTTTTTGGCGGGTTTCTCCCCGGTTTGCGGGGGTTTCTCCCCGGTTTTTTGGGGGTTCCCCCCGGTTTTGGGGTGGGGGGGGAGCCCCCGCTCAGGGATCGCCCCCGGCCCCGGGGGTCGCGCGGGATGAGTGAAAATAAAGGAATTTCAGTAAAAAACGACCGCGGTGAGGATTGTGGGGGTCGGGGACCGGAGCGGAGACCGGGACCGGGGTGCGGGGACAGCGGCAGCGCCCGGTGCCGGTGCCGGTACCGGGGGGTCACGGGGGGGTCACGGGGGGTCACGGGGGCAGCACCGGACCGGGGTTCCGGCGGGGCTGGGAGCGTGGGGCTGAGGCCGGTGGGTGAGGCCGGTGCCCCGGTCCGGGCTCAGCAGGGACCGGTCCCGGTGTGGCCCCGGTGCCGGTAATGGAGGGGGGACACCGGGGGTCGCGGGTGTGGGGGTTGTGAGCGGGAGCGGTGCGGCAGGGTGGGATCCGGGAACATGCCGGGACCCCGACAGCTGAGCGAGAGGCGAATCCGCGCTCCCGGTGCGCTCCCGGTACCGAAATTCCGCACCCGCCTCTTCCTCTCCTTCCGCCTACATCCCCCATCACCCCCCGCGCGCCGCTTCCGCTCCCACACCCCGCCCCCTCTCGCGAGAGCCGCGCTGCACGCCGGGAGTTGCAGTCCGCGGGGCGGAGACACACACCCGTCCGGGGCCTCTGCTCGCGGGGGCCGCCGGGAGTTGTAGTCCGGGGGGGCGGGGAGGACTCGCGTTCCCAGCGTGCCCCGCGCGGAGCCCGCGCTCTGCCCTGCTCGCGCCTCGGGCTCGCGGTCCCGGGGGCTCCTCAGCGCCGGGCGGGGGGGGCTCGAGCAGGCCCGGGGGGCTCGGGGGGGCTCGGGGCGGCTCCCACCATGTCGGGCGAGGAGGAGGCGAGCGCTCCCGGGGCTCCCGGTGCCGCTTTTGTTCATGGGGGACCCCCCCCCAAATCTCCGGTACCGGGGAGGGGGGGGCTGAACAGCGGGGATGGGACGGGAGCCCCGGGACGGGGGGGCCTGGATGGGGTCAGGGGTGGGAACGGGGGTTGTGGTGGGAATGAGGGGTCCCGAACCGGGCTGGGGGTCCTGAACCGGGAACCGGGTCCGGTTCTGGGACGGGGATCATGTCCCGGGAATGGGATCCTGTCCAGGGAACGGGATCCGGTCCCAGGAACCGGTTCTGGGATCAGGGTCCGGTTCTGGGTATGGGGTCCCGTACTGGTCTGGGGATCCTGTCCCGGGACTGGGGCTCCGGTTCTGGGATCAGGGTCCGGTTCTGGGATTGGGGGTCCTGTCCCGAGAACGGGATCCTGAACCGGGAATTGGGCTCCGGTTCTGGGAACGGGGTCCTGAACCGGTCTGGGGTTCCTGTCCCGGGAACGGGATCCACGTCCGGGAACCGGGGTCCTGCCCCGGGTTTCGAGTCCCGAACCAGTCTGGGGGTTCTGTCCCGGGGATGTGGATCCAGCCCTGGTAACGGGGGTCCCGTCCCGGTAACGGGGGTCCCGTCCCGGTCAGGATGGGGGGCTGCAGGCTCTGCCCCCTCCGCTCCTGTCCCGGTTATTTTTTGAGCCCTTTCCCCTTCTCTCCCGGTGTCCCGGCCCCGGGAGCCGCCCGGACCGGTTCCGCGGGGCTCCCCGGGTCCCGCCCCGCTTCCTGCTGACTGCGGAGCTTCTTGTGAAGCGCCGGTGGCCCGGGGGGCGGCGGGAGCCGGGATTCCCCCCGGGAAGGGAGGGAGGTGGCCCGGGCAGCCTGCAGGTTCGGCCGCCTCCCTTCCCGCGGGGAAAGGCAGCTCCGCGCAGCTTGGGAGAGCAAAAACACCAAAAACACCAAAAAAACCTCCCAGCTGTCGGGTTTCGGGGATAAAAAGTGCCTTAACTCCCTAAAAAACATCGGGAAGAGAGAAGGATTCCAGGAATGTTCCTGTTCCTCTCATCCCTTGGAATGCTCCGGGTTTTTTCCTCCTTTATCTGTGTTTTTTTTTAATTTTTTTGCCCTGTTTGTTTCGTTCCCCCTCCGTGTCCCGCCGGCTCTTATCGGGAATGTTATCCTTGCTTTGAGATATTCCCAACTTTCCCATGGAAAAGTGGTGGCGTTTGAAGCCCTGGCACAGGTGACAGTGCCGAGGATTCCTTGGAATTCTGAGCACGGTGGGACAGAGGGGGAATGTCAGGGCACGTTCCAGGATCCCAGAATGTTTTGGGATCCCAGAATATTTTGGGGTCCCAGTCCAGGATCCCAGAATGTTTTGGGGTCCCATTCTAAGATCCTAGAATGTTTTGGAATCCCGTTTTAGGATCCCAGAAATGTTTTGGGAATCCCATTCCAGGATCCCATTCCAGGATCCCAGAATATTTTGGGGTCCCATTTTAGGATCCCAGAATATTTTAGGAATCCCATTCCAGGATCCCAGAATGTTTTGGGATCCCAGAATATTTTGGGGTCCCAGTCCAGGATCCCAGAATGTTTTGGGGTCCCATTCTAAGATCCTAGAATGTTTTGGAATCCCGTTTTAGGATCCCAGAAATGTTTTGGGAATCCCATTCCAGGATCCCAGAATATTTGGGAATCCCATTCCAGGATCCCAGAATATTTTGGGGTCCCATTTTAGGATCCCAGAATATTTTAGGAATCCCATTCCAGGATCCCAGAATATTTTAGGAATCCCATTCCAGGACCCAAAAATATTTTGGGATCCCATTCCAAGATCCCAGAATATTTTGGGATTCCAGTCCAGGATCCCAGAATATTTTGGGATTCCAGTCCAGGATCCCAGAATATTTTGGGATCCTATTCTAAGATCCCAGAATATTTTAGGAATCGCATTTCAGGATCTCTGAATATTTTGGGATCCCATTCCCTAACCCATTCCAGGTTCCCAGAATATTTTAGGAATCCCATTCCAGGGTCCCAGAATATTTTGGGATCAGCACTGTGGAGGAAGCTGCAGGAGCTCTGGGGACACTTTTTCCCCCAGGCACGAGGCAGGCTGGAATTCCTGATGGATATTTTTTGGGAGTGCAGCACTCCCCAAACTTCCTGGGGCGTTCCCTGTGCCAGCACAGGGATTCCTTGGAAACCAGGGACTCGTGGGGTGCCCTTTGATGTCTCCCAGTCATTCCCAAACCTGTTCCCAGAGCTCTGACTTCTCCCACAGGAATTTGTCAGCGCAGCTCTCCCGCTTCCCAAAAAAAAATCCCAAATAAAACAAGATTTGTGCTTTTCCCACATGTGGAACCTTGGGAATACAATTTGAGGTGTTGGCTGTGGGGCTGCGTGTCCATGAAGTGGACAACAAAAGCATGAAAACCCCGTGAAATGTTGGTTTTTTTTGGGGAATTGCAGGGGTGCTGCGGGCCGTGGTGGAGGCGGCGGCGCCCGGCGCGTCTGTGCTGTGCCTGTGCGAGAAGGGCGACGCCATGATCATGGAAGAGACGGGCAAAATCTTCAAGAAGGAAAAGGAAATGAAGAAAGGTGAGGCTCTGCTTCCTGGCAGCGAGGAATTCGTGGTGCTCTTCCCTGATTTTCAACCAAATCCTCCTCGCTGCTGCGCCTCGTTTTCCATGATTCCAGTAATTCCATTGGGATTGCCTGGGAGGGTGGCTCTGGAGGGTTTGGGACACTGGGATTTGTCACCAAATTCCCATCCTGAGGGTGCTGGAAGGAGCTTTAAGTGGGATGTGGGGAGAAATTCTTTACCTGGGAGGTGCTGGAATGGAATTCCCATCCCTGCAAAGTGACCCAGGCCAGCCTGGGGTAGGGGAGGGTGTCCCAAGAGGGTGGAATGGAGCTTTAAAGTCCCCAAATCCCAAAGCTGGAGGTGCTGGAAGGAGGTTCAGGTGGAATTTTGGGAAGAAAGAGGCACTGGAAGAGATTTCCCATCCCTGCAAAGTGACCCAGGCCAGCCTGGGGTAGGGGAAGGTGTCCCAGGAGGGTGGACAAGATTAAAGATTATCCCAGTCCCAAAGCTGGAGGTGTTGGAAGGAGGTTCAGGTGGAATTTTGGGAAGAAAGAGGCACTGGAAGAGATTTCCCATCCCTGCAAAGTGACCCAGGCCAGCCTGGGCTAGGGGAATGTGTCCCAGGAGGGTGGACAAGCTTAAAGATTATCCCAATCCCAAAGTTGGAGGTGTTGGAAGGAGGTTCAGGTGGAATTTTGGGAAGAAAGAGGCACTGGAATGGAATTCTCATCCCTGCAAAGCATCCTAGGCCAGGCTGGAGCAGCCCAGCATAGGGGAATGTGTCCCAGGAGCTTAAAGATTATCCCAATCCCAAAGTTGGAGGTGTTGGAAGGAGGTTCAGGTGGAATTTTGGGAAGAAAGAGGCACTGGAATGGAATTCCCATTCCTTCAAACATCCCAGGCCAGGTGAGAGCAGCCTGGGATGGGGGAAAGTGTCCCAAAAGTGTGGAAGGGAGCTTTAAGGTCCCCAAATCCCAAAGCTGGAGGTGTTGGAAGGAGGATCAGGTGGAATTTTGGGAAGAAAGAGGCACTGGAATGGAATTCTCATCCCTGCAAAGCATCCTAGGCCAGGCTGGAGCAGCCCAGCATAGGGGAATGTGTCCCAGGAAGGTGGAATGGAGCTTTAAGGTCACCCCAAATCCCAAAGCTGGAGGTGTTGGAAGGAGGATCAGGTGGAATTTTGGGAAGAAAGAGGCCCTGGAATGGAATTCTCATCCCTGCAAAGCATCCTAGGCCAGGCTGGAGCAGCCCAGCATAGGGGAATGTGTCCCAGGAAGGTGGAATGGAGCTTTAAGGTCACCCCAAATCCCAAAGCTGGAGGTGCTGGAAGTAGATTTAAGTGGAATGTTGGGAAGAAAGAGGCACTGGAATGGAATTCTCATCCCTGCAAAGCATCCTAGGCCAGGCTGGAGCAGCCCAGCATAGGGAAAGGTGTCCCAAGAAGGTGGAATGGAGCTTTAAGGTCCCCAAATCCCAAAGTTGGAGGTGCTGGAAATAGATTTAGATGGGATGTCAAGAAGAAATTCCTCCCTGGAAGGTGCTGGGATCCTTTTGAGTGTCCCAAGCCAGGCTGGAACAGCCTGGGATGGAGAAAGTGTCCCAAGAGGGTGGCACAGAGCTTTAAGGTCACCCCAAATCCCAAATCCCTGATTTTTTTCCTGTTCCCTCCCCAGGAATCGCCTTCCCCACGAGTATATCCGTAAATAACTGTGTGTGTCACTTCTCCCCGCTCAAGAGCGACCAGGATTACATCCTCAAGGACGGGGATTTGGTCAAAATGTGAGTTCCTGACTCCCATTCCACAGGAATCCTGCTCCCTTCCCAAAATCCCAAACCCATCAGGTTGGCAGAACCCGTCCGACCGCCCATTCCCACGCCGCGTTTGTGCCACGGCGTCGATTCCTCGTTAATTAAAGGCTACTAACGAGCCTGGAGGGGTTCCCGGGGCAGCATTCCGCCTCTGGGACCCAGCTGGAATTCCTGGAATTCCCATTTTCCCTCTGTTGCAGCGACCTGGGCGTGCACGTGGACGGCTTCATCGCCAACGTGGCGCACAGCTTCGTGCTCGGCGCCTCCAAGGTGGGTTTGTCATCGGGGGGTGTCTGCTGGCATGGGGCAGCCTCGGGGTGCCAGGGGCAGCCTCAGGGTGCCAGGGGCAGTCACTGCAGCCTCGGGGTGCCAGGGGCAGCCTCGGGGTGCCAGGGGCAGCCTTGGGGTGCCAGGGGCAGCCTCGGCAGCCTCGGGGTGCCAGGGGCAGCCTCGGGGTGCCAGGGGCAGTCCCTGCAGCCTCGGGGTGCCAGGGGCAGCCTCGGGGTGCCAGGGGCACCACCTGCAGCCTCGGGGTGCCAGGGGCAGCCTCGGGGTGCCAGGGGCAGCCTCGGGGTGCCAGGGGCAGTCCCTGCAGCCTCGGGGTGCCAGGGGCAGCCTCGGGGTGCCAGGGGCAGCCTCGGAGTGCCAGGGGCAGTCCCGGCAGCCTCGGGGTGCCAGGGGCACCACCTGCAGCCTCGGGATGCCAGGGGCAGTCCCGGCAGCTTCAGGGTGCCAGGGGCAGCACCTGCAGCCTCGGGGTGCCAGGGGCAGTCCCTGCAGCCTCGAGGCCTGAGGGGCACCCCCTGGAGCCTCTGGGTCTGAGGGGGCACCACCCTGAGGTGTCAGGATCTGAGGTGGCACCACCATGAGGGCTCTGGATCTCAGGGGGCACCACCCTGGAGCCTCTGGGTCTGAGGGGGCACTACCCTGGAGCCCCTGAATCCCAGGTGGCAGTGCCCTGGAGTGTCAGGATCTCACATGGCACCACGCTGGAGCTGCTGGCTCTGAGCTGGCAGTGCCCTGGAACCTCTGGGTCTGAGGTGGCAGTGCCCTGGGGTGTCAGGATCTCGGGTGGCACTGCCCTGCAGCCTCTGGATCCAAGGTGGCAGTGCCCTGGAGTGTCAGGATCTCACATGGCACCACGCTGGAGCTGCTGGCTCTGAGGTGGCAGTGCCCTGGAGTGTCAGGATCTGAGGTGGCACCACCCTGCAGCCTCTGGGTCTGAGGTGCCACCCTCCCAAAATCTCTGGATCCAGGGTCTCTGGATCCAAACTGGCACCACTTTGGATCCTCTGGATCCCGGGTGGCAGCACCCAGATCCTTGGCCAGGCAGTCTCTGCTTCCCACTTTTCCTGCTGGAATTCCCAGGATGAACATTCCCAATTCCCACCCCAAAACCAATCCTTGCTTCCCGTTTTTCCTGCTGGAATTCCCAGGATGAACATTCCCATTCCCCACCCCAAAACCGTTCCCCGCTTCCCACTTTTCCTGCTGGAATTCCCAGGATGAACATTTCCCGTCCCAAAACCATTCCCTGCTTCCCAAAACCAATCTCTGCTTCCCATTTTTCCTGTTGGAATTCCCAGGATGAACATTCCCATTTCCCACCCCAAATCCAATCCTTGTTTCCCCTTTTTTCCTGCTGGAATTCCCAGGATGAACATTTCCCATCCCAAAACCGTTCCCTGCTTCCCACTTTTCCCCTGGAATTTGGCCAGTCTGATACCTTGGAAATTCCTGCTGGGAATTCCTCAGGTTATCCCGTCCTCTGGGAATAAATCCTGAGAAAAAAACTGCCTTGGGAATGGTTTTTCTCCAGTGGTTTTGGGGGAAAAGCCCAAAATTCCCCATTGGAATTTTGCCGGACTCTTCCCAATCCGTATTTTTGATTTCAGCCATGCCTGGACTGGGAATCCTCTGGAATTCTTTGGGGTGTGGTTGATCAGGGACTTCCAAACCACGGAATTCCCATCCCCAAGCCCTCAGAAATCCCAAATTTTGGGTGTTTTTCCCAGGAAAAGCCCGTGTCCGGCCGCAAAGCCGACGTCATCAAGGCAGCTCACCTGTGTGCCGAGGCCGCCCTGCGCCTGGTGAAACCCGGGAACCAGGTGGGAATTTGGGAATGCTGGGAGCCAGGTGGGAATTTGGGAATTCTGGGAGCCAGGTGGGGGTTTGGGAATTCTGGGAGCCAGGTGGGCATTGGGAATGCTGGGAATCAGCACCGGGATTTTGGGACCCAGCCTGTGGGATTTTGGGACGCAGCCTGTGGGATTTTGGGATGCAGCCTGTGGGATTTTGTGGGGGATTTGGGAGCAGCTGTATGGAAAAATTGATTTTTTTTTCCCCTTTTTTTTTTTTTTGTGAGAAAAGCTGTTTTTTCCCCTTGGGAATGCTGGGAATCAGCACCGGGATTTTGGGACGCAGCCTGTGGGATTTTGGGATGCAGCCTGTGGGATTTTGTGGGGGATTTGGGAGCAGCTGTATGAAAAAATTGATTTTTTTTCCCCTTTTTTTGGTGAGAAAAGCTGTTTTTTCCCAAAATGTTTGGGATTTAAGGAAAGCTCGTGCTTGGGGTGGGGATTTTTTGTCTTTAAAATGTTTTTTTTTTGTTTTTTTTTTCCAGAACACACAAGTGACAGAGGCCTGGAATAAAATCGCCCACGCGTTCCACTGCACACCCATTGAAGGTGAGGGGAAGGGGAAACGGAATTCCAGGGAAAAGGAATTCCAGGGAAAATGGGATTCCAGGGAAAAGGGAATTTTAGGGAAATGGGGATTTCAGGGGAAAGGGATCCTAGGAAAAAGGGATAAAAGGGAAAAAGGAATCCCAGGGAAAAGGGATAAAAGGGAAAAGGGAATTTCAGGAAAAATGGGGATTCCAGGGAAAGGGATTCCAGGGAAAAGGGAATTTCAGGAAAAATGGGGATTCCAGGGAAAGAGATTCCAGGGAAAGGGAATCCCAGGGAAAAGGGAATTCCAGGGAAAGAGGTTTCAGGGAAAAGGGGATCCTGGAGAAAAGGGATCCCAGGGAAAAAAGGGATAAAAGGGAAAAGGGAATTTTAGGGAAATGGGGATTTCAGGGAAAAGGGATAAAAGGGAAAAAGGAATTTCAGGGAAAGGGGAATTTTAGGGAAATGGGGATTTTAGGGAAAAGGGATAAAAGGGAAAAAAGAATTTCAGGGAAATGGGATCACAGGGAAAAGGGAATTCCAGGGAAAGGGGTTTCGGGAAAATGGGGATTCCAGGGAAAGGGATTTCAGGGAAAGAGAAATTTCAGGGTGAAGGGGATTCCAGAGAAAACAGATCCCAGGGAAAAGGGATAAAAGGGGAAAAGGAAATCCAGGGAAAAAGGAATTCCAGGTAAAGGGGATCCCAGGGATCATGGGGTAAAGGGAATTCCAAGGAAAAAAGGATCACAGGGAATCATGATGGGAAAAAGGATTACAGGAGGAAAGGGATCCTGGAGAAAAGGGATCTGAGGGAAAAGGGATCATGGGGGAAAGGGAATTCCAGGGGAAAAAATGATCCGAAGGAAAAGCGATCATGGGGGAAAAAATCCCAGGAAAAAAAGGATCATGGGGAACAGGGATTCCAGGAAAAGGGAATTCCAGGGAAAAGGGGTCCCAGGATGGCTGGGAAGGCTCTGGGGTTGCTGGATGGGGATCCTGGAGCTCATCCTGATCCTTTTCCCCCCATGGGCTCTCCCTGTTACTGGTTAAATTCCCTGGAATTCCGGGAATTCCCGCTGCCTCCAGAGTGGGTTGGGAATGTTGGGAATGCTGGGGGCTCTTCCAGGATGGGGCTGGGAGTGAGGGGTGGGAAAAGGGGAAAATCCCCCAAAACCCCCCTGGGCTGGGAGTGAGGGGTGGGAAAAGGGGGAATCCCCCAAAACCCCTCTGGATTGGGAGTGAGGGGTGGGAAAAGGGGAAAATCCCCCCAAACCCCTCTGGATCAATCCAAGGTCAGGGGTGGGAATTCTGCCTGCCCCTCTGGGCTGGGAGTGAGGGGTGGGAAAAGGGGGAATCCCCCAAAACCCCTCTGGATTGGGAGTGAGGGGTGGGAAAAGGGGAAAATCCCCCAAAACCCCTCTGGGCTGGGAGTGAGGGGTGGGGAAAGGGGGGAATCCCCCCAAACCCCTCTGGATCCACCCCGGTCAGGGGTGGGAATTCTGCCTGGGCTTGGCACTGGGGGGCGTGTCAGGGCTCCCAGTACAGACCAGTACAGCCCAGTGGTGTGCAGTGCCTGGAGATCACAGTCCATCCCAGTAACCCCAGTCCGTCCCAGTAACCCCAGTCTGTCCCAGTCCATCCCAGTAAGGCCAGTCCATCCCATTAACCCCAGTCTGTCGCAGTCCATCCCAGTAACCCCAGTCCCTCCCAGTCCCCCCCGTCCCCCCCAGTCCCTTCCTGTCCATTCCCAGTCCCTCCCAGACCCCCCAGTCCCTCCCAGTCCCTCCCAGCCCATCCCAGTCCCCCCCAGTCCCT